TGAATAGAGGTGCATTGCAATTGTGGTAAGCAAATTGTAGACTTTAAAAACCTTTACAGGAAAGTTTAAAGAGCATTTAATTTGTGGTATTCAGATATATTTGTTCTTTTGCCTCTGACAAAATAATATTGCCCAAAACTGAGTACACGGTACTGAAATATAAGGTCACAATCAGTATGACATCAGTTTGACGTCATTGTCAGAAAGTAAGGATCTTAATCTTTTTCTTATTAAAGAAATATCTAAATGATTTATGAGGTCTTTTTGAAGAGGTACAAAAGGTACGTAAATATTCTCTTGGCATTGTAGCTATATTACTAGTACGTACGTCTATCTGTTATACATGGATGCATGTGTTGTCAGTTCTCCCATTTAACTATAACATGTATACATGTGCGTATTCATGAGAAACTTATATGCTATGGTACACCCAAGGCTACAGAAGATTTAACAAAGTAATTATACACTTTTTACAGGCTGTTAGAGGCAGATCAGAAAGCATGCAGTTCCCTCAACTCTGCGCCCTCTCCGACCCCCGGTCACTCACGGAAGGGATCGGGGTCTAGTGTGCAGTCCTCTACGTCCTCCAACAGTCACTACAGTACACAGCAGACAGACGAGGAGAACAGTATGTAAACAGCACTATTAATACATTAAAACAATGATGCTCAAAGAAATTCAAAGTTTCCTGTGTAGGTCACCCAAAGATGGTTAACTGTACGGTTGTATTTGGACTTTTAACACATTACCTGGTCCTGGCTGTGGTATCCATTAGGTTCAAACCAGAGTTTCTATAAATCTCTTCAGCAAATGTCAGTGTCATAAGAGAATCCATTCTGTCATATTATTTGCATATATTGCAAATGGATTGAAAATTATTTTTTATGAATTATGACATATTTAGTGAGGATCTCTGGTTATTTACAGACCTGTCCACATCAGGGAACCTGTGGGATGTGTGGGGTAAACTTGTCAATGACTGGGAAAATGCCAAAAAGAAACAGCAATATATCAAGGTAAGCACACTATGTCCTGCAGCTTTTGCAATTATAAAGTATTGATATCTATTACAGAATGAAATGTCAACAACATTTTAATGAATTCTCTGTGTTGATACATGGATTTAAAATTGATTTTGGTGTCTAAAAGGCCAAAAAAGTTCTGACAAATGATATGCAAAATGAATGATCAATCATTTTAAAGGAAAACTGTAATAGAATTATTATAATTATAACTTTGAGGATTACCTAGAAATTCTAATATTCAATTTATATATTAAAAAGTTTTCAAATATATAGATGTTACTTGGCTTGTTTACTAACTTAAGGACCTGGTTCGGAAGGGAATCCCACATCACTTCCGGGGGCTAGCCTGGCAGCTGTTGTTGAACGTGAATGAGTCGCCCCACCGACAAATGTATGTGGAATACTTAAAGGACAGTTCCCCCAGTGAAAAGCTTATCAAGCGAGATATTGC